CGCCAAGATAACTTTATGTGCGAGGATCCTTCAGAGTGCGTCCGACACGGCCTCCAGGGAGACCACTAGCAATGTGCACGTGCTGCCTGAGGAGGGAGACCCGCTTTGGGTCCCGGACTCTCGCGACGGAGATGGTGGGGGGACGAGGTCGTCTCCGCCGTCGCCTTTGTCGGGGGTGAGGCAACTTCGTAGTGTCCGTGCCTGCTTGGCTTCGCCTGTTGCCCGAAGGGTGAGGGCCAGGCTTCAGTTTCGATCTCAGAATTCTCAGCAGGGCATCGGCGCGCCAAATCACGATTTGGATGGTACGAGCGCCCAAGGGGCGCAGTTTCACGATGAGATCGGGCGGTGGGTTGAGTCTGGGCCGCCGTCGGAGTCGTGGGAGGGGGGATCCTTCAGTTTCGATGTTGATCGAGCACAGCCTCGAGGGCTCGTGCTCCCGTCGTTTCTCCAGGGCCTGCCTCTCCCTCCTCCGCCTCCGCTGCCTCCTCTGCTGCGGCTGCGAGTCCTGCTGCTGCGCGTGCTCGCCCTCTCCCCCTCTCCTGCCCGTGTGGCGCGGGCTCGCCTTTCCGCTCCTCCCCCTCACGACAGAGGGAGAGGGGTCAGCTTTGCGCCCGCCGACGACGGCGTGCTGCACCAGGCGGTGCGCGACTTCCAGGCGCCCCCTCCTCCGCCCGACCCTCCTGTCGAGCGGCCCCCGAAGCTTAGACGCGTTTTGGGGCCAAGAGGAGGATCTCGCGCACCGAGTGTCATGCCGCAGTTTCCGCTTCCTGTTTCGGGAGACGTCTTACCCAGGAGCGCTCGTGGGCACGAGTTACACGTCTCTCCTGGCCAGGTTGTTATCTGCTTACTGTGTGGGGCCATCATCACGGGTGGTGCGTCTGCGCTGCTTGATTTGTGTCCCCCTCTTCCATGTAGTAAACGAGGGGCCTCCCATATCCATCGGTTCCAGACGAAACGACATCCTGCAGACTTGCGTCGTCGTGAGGCCATTTCAGGACAGAGGAGGCTCCAAGTTTCGGACCCCGAGGTGCACTGGCTGCAACTCGATTGATAAACTCGTTTATCTTTACCCATTTGAGCTTCTAATCTTCCCAAGCTCGTTTGTCTGCCGCTCACCCCGCCGTGATCCTTTGGTGGGCATGGGGTGGGCGCCTGTGCAGACCTGGGGGAGGGCTTTGGTCTTCCCCCCGTTTTTGAGTGGCCGTTTGCGCGCCGCGCGACGGATCCCTCCCAGGCTGCGTATCCTCCTCCTCCTCCTCCTCCTCCTCCTCCTCCTCCTCCTCCTCCTCCTCCTCCCTCTCTAGAACACATGGTAGTGGCGGGGGCATGGGCCCCAATCAGGAGCCGGCTGGGGGTCTGAGGAGGACCAGCACTACAACCCTCCTCGAAGTTAGATACGAGTTGTTACTGTTGGTCGACGCGCGAAGCGCGGCCCACGGGGTCAAGCACTTTTTTTGGTTGGCAGTCGCCAGGTTCGGGGCGAACGTTGGAAATTGAGAGACCCAGGGCGCCGCCACGCCGCGGGACAAGAACTTGGGGTGGCTCTCGACGGGGGGATGCAGATCCAGCCAATGGGAAGGGGGGCAGGCTCGAGGTGCTGGACTCCTCCTCCTCCTCCTCCTACCTCCTCCTCCTCCTCCTCCTCCTCCTCCTCCTCCTCCTCCTCCTCCTCCTCCTCCTCCTCCTCCTCCCTCTCTAGAACATATGGTAGTGGCGGGGGCATGGGGGGGCAGGCTCGAGGTGCTGGGCTCGGGGAGGCCTCTTGCCCTCTTTGGGGCCTGCCTCGGGCCTGCCTCGGGCCCCCTATGCACGGTCACGAACGGACTCCGGGGTGCACCGCTGCACCGCATGGCTTGGCATCGCTCGGGCGTGTGTATTTTTCCTTCGGCGAGGACCATCGAGGAGCATCCTTGATCATTTGGCGAAGAAGCCGCGCACGAAACCGAAAAAAAACACTGGGAATGGACGTCCGAGCGATGGACAGATGGACCCTGGGAGGGGTCTCGGCGTCACCCCAACATACTTCTACTGTATGTGCGTCGCCCCCCACCAGGGGCGACGCGCGCACCGAGGAATCTTATAGTATGTGCGTCGTGGCGGGCGCCTTCTGGCGACACCGCTCGGGAAACGATCTACCACAAGAGGTGTTGCGATATGTTCGGGTCGGACGCCCGCCTCCAAGGAGGACGTATAGTCAGAGTGAGGGGGCCGAACGGTCATTCACTGTCCCTGGGTGCGTGGCTGAAGTGGAATTCCGCGGTGCGGATTTTCGTTGTTGTTGTTGTTGTTGTTGTTGCTGCTGCTGCTGCTGCTGCTGCTGCTGCTGCTGCTGCTGCTGTTGTTGTTGTTGTTGTTGTTGTTGTTGTTGTTGTTGTTGTTGTTGTTGTTATTGTTTGTTGTTGTTGCTTGTTGTCGTCGTCCCACCCGCAACCCGCCCCGAGACCCACCCGCGACCCACCCCGCGACCCACCCCGCGACCAACCCGCGACCCACCCGCGACCCACCCGCGACCCACCCCGCGACCCACCCCGCGACCCACCCCGCGACCCGCCCCGCGACCCACCCCGCGACCCACCCCGCGACCCGCCCGCGGCCCACTCCCCGACCCACCCGCGACCCACCCGCGACCCACCCCGCGACCCACCCGCGACCCACCCGTGACCTACCCCGCGATCCACCCGCGACCCACCCGCGACCCAAACCACGTTCAAGGTACAAACCACCATTTTCGGCGCCGGCGGCGGGCTTTTTTTACATTCCTTCCAGGTTGAGAGCCCGCGACCCACCCCGTGACCAACTCGCGACCAACCCGCGACCCAAACCACGTTCAGGGTACAAACCACATTTTTCGGCGCCTGCGGCGGGCATCTTTTGCATTCGTTTCAGGTGGAGAGCCCGCGGCCCACCCGCGACCACGTTCAGGGTACAAACCCCTTTTTTCGGCGCCTGCGGCGGGCATCTTTTGCATTCGTTCCCGGTGGAGAACCCGCGGCCCACCCGCGACCCAAACCACGTTCAGTGTACAAACCAATTTTTGTTGGCGCCTGCGGCGGGCTGCTTTTGCATTCCTTCTAGGTGGAGGTGGAGAGCCCGCGACCCACCCGCGACCTAAACCACGTTCACTGAACAAACCAATGCCGCACAAGCGCGGCGGCGGATTTTTTCATGCCGCCTGAGCCCGCAAGGACCTCTTCAAGCCCCGCGAATCCACACCAGCCCGTCCAGCAACTCTGCCCTGGCGAGTTGCCTTAATCAAAGAAGGCGGGGAGCATAAAGTGGAAAAAAGGATTACGTTGCAGTTATCTTGGGAAAGGAGGGAGAGGCAGGAGGAGTAAACGGGGGACGAGGAGAACGCGGAAAAAGAGAGGATGTAAGGAAAATGTGGAGAAAGAAAAGGAGGAGGAGCAGGAGGACGAGGAGGGGGAGGAGGGGGAGGAGGAGGACGAGGAGGGGGAGGAGGGGGAGGATGATGATGATGATGATGGGCGACAATGGGAGGACGATGATGAAGGCCGATGAGGGGGAGGACGACAATGGGAGGACGATAATGAAAGGACGAGGGGGGGAGAGGGAGGACGAGGAAGAAGAGGAGGAGGAGGAGGAGGAGGACGAGGTGGAGGAGGAGGATGACGATGACGATGAGGACGAGGACGAGGAAGAGGAGGAGGAGGAGGAGGAGGAGGAGGAGGAGGAGGAGGACAGCGCCATCGACAGGGAAGGTGGGGGCCACGAGGTCCGCCGGCTCGACGACGCCCGCGTCGCCCGCGCTCGCCCCCTCACTCTTATCCGCAATTGCGGGGTGCTATATATTACATAGTACGTCTCCGTGCGTCCCAGGGTCCGGGGACCGATTTTGACCAGACTTGGCCCCACCCTTCACCCGCTGACGGATTCTCCGAGGCCCCAACCGGTTCAGACCCCCCGGCCGCCTCCAATTTTCTTCCCTCTATCTTTGCCCTCCTCTCGCGCGGGGCCTCGTGTGACAGAGCTGCGTCGGCCGCATGTCAGAGGGGAGAAGAGACACAGCCACAACGAGTAGTACATTCCAGAGAAAAGTTGGAAAATATGGGAAGGGGAGGGGAAGACGAACATCCAGAAGCCATGACAAAAAATGATAGGGAATCCTGGGGACGCAACATTTGAGGTCTGGGGGGAAGGGGGGGGCGAACACGGGGTCGAAAACGAAGGGGCTCTACTTGTTTGTCCCCTTACTGTTCCTCTTCATGTTGCACACTTGTGATCGCATGGAAGAGGAGGAGGAGGAGTAGGGAGAAGGAGGAGGAGGCGCGGAAGGATGAGGAGTTGGAGGAGAAGCTGAGGAGTAGGAAACAAGAAGTAGGAGGAGGAGGAAACGGAGGAGGAGGAGGAGAAGGAGGAGGAGGAGGAGGAGGCGGAGGAAGAGGAGGATCTGACTGAAGAGAGAGCAGCAAGCAGCAGAGAGGAGAGATGAGGATGAGGGGAGAGGAGTAGGAGGAGGAGGAGAAGGGGAGGAGGATGAAGGAGGAGGAGGAGGAGCAGGCGAGCAGATTAGGAGGAGGAGGAGGCGGATGAGGCGGATAAGGAGGAGAGGCTGACGAGGAGAGGAGGCGGTAGGAGGAGCGGAGGAGCAGGAGCATCAGGCGGAGGAGGAGGAGAGAGAACGGATGAGCAGCGGAGGAGGAGGAGGAGGATGAGGAATGAGGAGAGAAGGGAGGAGACGGGAGTCATAGAGAACTATTTATGAGGAGGAGGAGGAGGAGCAGGAGGAGAGGGAGAAGTGATGAGTCAGGAGGCGGAGGAGGAGTAGGAGGAAGCATTATGCTTGGGCGGGGCGGGGTTTGGGAGGGGCGGCGGGGAGGGCGATCGGCGGCGGGCGGAGGCTGACGGGCGGAGGAGGAGGGCGGTCGGGCGGAGGAGGAGGAGGAGGAGGAGGAGGAGGAGGAGGAGTCTCTCTCTCTCTCTCTCTCTTTCTCTCGCCCTCCCTCCCTCCGACCTCCCTCCGCTGGCCCCCGCGGTCGCAGGCGGGGCCGCCGACGACGGCTACGAGGAGCGGGGGGCGTCCTGTTACAGCGAGGGATCGCGCCGTCGGCCAAGGGAGAGAGAGGGAGGGGCGAACTTGGCGGGCGCCGCCGATGATGAGGATGAGGAGGAGGAGGAGGAGGAGGAGGAGGAGGAGGAGGAGGAGGAGGAGGAGAAAGAGGAGAGGAGGAGGAGAGGAGGAGGAGGAGGCGAAGGAGGAGGAGGAGGAGAAGGAGGAAGAGGAGCAGGAGGAGGAGGAGGAGGAGGAGGAGGAGAAGGGGGCGCCGCCGATGTTCGAAGAGCCAAACGCAGGCATCGACATAGACTTCTTGGCGGTCCGCGCGGACCGTCAACAGCTCATGCTTGTGCCGTGTCGTGTTTCTCTAGATGTGGAAGGGGGCCTACTAGAAGGTCCAGGGAGCAGCGGCAGTGGCATCGCTTGATTTCCCCATGGGAGGGGGGACAGCAGAGAAGGGGTGGGGATAGGGTTAAGCCGGGCGTGTCCCTCCACAGGACTGGTGACACATAGTCAGGGGACGATCTTCTGAGTACTTTTGATCATTGTTTGAATACGTCTGGACTATCTTTGATTTTTCCTCCAAAACCCCCCTGAGGAAAGAGGGAGTAGGGAGGAGAGGGAGAGGGAGTAGGGAGTAGGGAGGAGGGAGGAGGGAGAGGGAGGAGGGAAGAGGGAGGAGGGAGGAGGGAGGGAGGAGAACGAGTAGGGAGGAGGGAGGGGGAGGGAGGAGGGAGGGGCAGGAGGAGGGACTGGAAGGATGAAGGATGAGGAATGGGGCAGGCGGAGGTGGGAGGCAGGATTGCAGGAGGAGGAGGACAGCCCCCCGCCTTCTGGGCTTACGGGTGCTACCACCAGGGAATATTCAGAATGACGGATGCCCTCGACCAGGATGCTCGGAGCGAGCTTCTCACGCGCGTTTAGAGGAACGCTGCACAAGGTTCAGAGCTTGGGAAGCTTGATTGCGCTTGGCTTTTTTTTTTTGTTCTCTCTCTCTCTCTCACACACACACACGCCCCAGCCGCTCCACGCGCAGAGGAGATGGAATCCCGACTCACTGGCGGTGCCCCCCGGAGTC